GTGTGTTACAAGAGTGTAAAGATGTACGAGGCTGAGAAGAAGATCCGCGATACCAGCTCCAGCTCTCCTGTCCTGTAAGAACCTGTGGAAAAGCTCCCATATTTTTACTAACTTCTTAGAAAATAAACCTTTAAAAAAGGAATCTCGTGTGGGTTTATTCTCGGCGAACGTCTCTGACTGCAGCCCTCACTGGAAGGGACTTGCGTGACGTCACCACGGCCAGGCTGTGTGGGACAAGCGGTGGAGACGCCCGCAGGAAGTCGCGCATGGGGTTTATGCGAATTGTAGTTCGTAACTTGTAGCTATTGCCTGCTATGGGGAAGCATAGCAAGACAGGAAGCGTTCAGACAGGGTTACACTTAGAGCAAACTACCTGCCTCCATGAACCTATTTTTAAACAGCCGTGGGTGAAAACACTAGGCTCATGTAACTAATGAGGTAGCGAAATACAATATGAGGTATTAATACATTTATACGTATATAAACTACAGACTCAAACAAGCTTAAAAAGGTGGAAGTGATATTAGAAAACAGTTCACACTGAAGAAATAAACTCGTATTTACTACAGTCTCATTTTAATAAATTCCCCTGTTTCTCTGGTCAGTTCAGGTTTTACTGCTCATTTCAAAGAATTTTCATTAATTACATTTCATTACACGTGAAAGACGCGACCCTGTACCGGATACTGGATACTGTACTGGATACAGCACATAGAAACTGGACTGACCTCTGTTCACGACTAAAGACCCTCAGTATAAATAGTTAATTGTAATTAATGTAATGAGCTGTAATGAGTCCCGGTGTCGGAGTAATTGTAACTGATATCAACACAGACAGTATTATATTAGTGAGAGTAACAGTCATAGAGAGGAGATTAAACCGTTTTAAAACAAAATGAGATATCACCCTACTAATACATTTCTGTATTATTTTAAAAAAATGTTGTCTTGAGAGTGAAGTAATGGGACACTTGAATCAGAAAGTGTTGCTGTAAAAAGCGGTTTTTCTTCTCGTCCACAAACTCTCCCCGCTCTGACCTCTCATCCAGGTCGCTTCTAATGTGTCTGTTCTGGCTATTTCTGTCTAAAAACACGTTACAGGACTCCCGTCTCCTGTGGAGACACGTGTGGGGTCGTGACAGGGTTGAAGTCCCACATTTTACACCAGTTTAAACTGGGACTGGGTACAACCTGGATCAAGACAAGAACTGAGAGATTCATCCATCAGTTTCAGGACTCTCTCCCACTGGTGTCCTTTTCTCTGTCCTGCCCTGTCCTTGTCTCTGTCCTGTTTCCTAAAAACCCCACTAATACCCCGTGTAGGAAAGAAGACCCGCTCGTCACTCCTGTCCTGTCCCGGTGTCGCAGTAACTGGGACTGAACCAGACGGAGAGGAGACGCTCACTTCCAGAAATTTCCTTCCCGCTCGGTTCTTCCAGCTGAGCCCCAGACGGACTTTTCCCCTCCTGAGGAAAGAACATCTTCCCACACAAACAGCCCGTTTCTCTCGGAAACACTGGCAGCCCAAACACACACACACACAGCACAGGGGACGTTTTCACCAGCCGCGCCGCCACACGGACACCAGGACTCCCCTAGTCTGCAGAAACACCAGGGAAGAGCCTCCGCACTCCCTCCCAGCCCACAGGAGATTCCCGATGGAAGTAGCTGGCGGGGGATTCCCAGTCATTCCTGGGATTTCCAGGAAAGAAGCGGCTCCTCACCTGGGAATAATTAAAACCAGAGACACACTCAATCATTTAAGATCCCGTGGGTGCTGACTTCAGTATTCTGTTGACATAAAAATAACTGATTCATTTCTGTCCCCAATTCCTGTAAAGCACTTTGAGTGAAGTGTCAAGAACAGCGCTATGCAAGAGTAAGGAATTATTAATTAATTTATCGATCAGTCTATGTAGCAGTGTTACGTTTCCACTAGGTGACGCCAAAGCAGCATTACAGAGCAGACGGGAAACAACTCGTTTAGATCAACAGGAAGAGAGAAAGAGATGGCGTCTGAAAGCTCAGCGCTCAGCCCTGGTGAGTTTTCTCTTGTTCTAACTGTCAGAGTGTCGGTAAGGGAGTCACTGAGGGTCTCTTCTCTGTCACAGAGCACAGCAGCAGCTGGAGAAGGTTCTTCCTGTCTGCTGGGGGTTGGTAGTAGTTCAGGTGGGGAGCTGCGTCAGCATGCGTAGACTGCAAAGGACCAAGTCATAGGTTTATTCCCTGCTGAAAAGCCAGCGTTTCGGCCTTCTTCAGGTGTGAGAGTTTGTAATGTCTGTCAGACACACAGGGTCTGAACTAGGAGAGAGACAGGAGCTGATTTACTTTCACTTTCTCCTGTCGGGGATCAGAGATCGGTACTGTCAAACCTGAACAGGAAGGAAATCATAAATTTCCACTGGATTATACTTAGAGGTTTATTTACAAATAATTGAATTGGTGTAAAACCTGATGGTTCGCTAATGTATTTGCAGGAGTTTTAAACATGGCGGATTAGTTCAGACATGGTTGTTTCCTGTATGAAACCGGAGCAACAGAGAGACACGCAGAATATAAAAAGAGTCACCGACGAGACTTGCCTGTTTGGTAGTTCGTCACTGACGGATGCAAGGGCCAGATGTGACAGTAGCCAGGGAATTTCTCCTTTCAGTGTTTAAACTTGTGTCCCCAAAACTTGTGTCTGTGTTTTTTGTTTTCCTACTCCTTATGTTCAGAAAGTTGATGACTGGAGAAACTGACCCATAGCTGTAACTGGGATTTTCATCACCTCAGACAAATAAAACTGTTTATTTTTTTAATAAGCCATTCCTCATGTTTTTTTTTTCCTTTCCCGAGCTGTACTGTGTCAACTGTCCCAACCCTCTGCCTCACCTTGATCTGATTCTTCCACTCCATCATGAAGAAGGTGAAAACACATCTCTACTGTACAGCATTGTAAGAGCAGGATGGACACAGCATCTCTGATCAGCTGGCTGTTCCACACCCATTAACTAATTAAAACTAAGTAGTGTGAAGAGGGCCTAGACACTAACTCCATTTCTCCTTTGACCTCACTGGACTGTTTCTTGACTTGTCTGTCCTGAAAGTCCATGAACAGATGTCACCGCCTGGAGAACTATTTAAAGTGCTAAATAAGTGTTATTATTATTAATCATCATCACAGCTGGTTGTCTCTGGCACTGACACTTCTCCAGTGTCGCCAGGAGGACTATATAAGGTCTATATATTGTGCCGTTTCTTGACTGGTCTGTCCTGAATGCTAGTCTAGAATGTGACATGAACAGATGTAACTTCCCGTTGGGCAGTTTGACTGGGTGCGGAGACACATTCCAGTCAGCAAGAACTCTGCCACATCGACCTCCTGGCAAAATCAGAGCTTAAATACAAAGTGCTAAATAAGTGTAAAGATTATTATTATTATTATTATTATTCACAGCCGGTTGTCTCCGAAACTGACATTGCTATCCTTCGGAGCACTGTATAACATCCTATATATAAAGTCTATATACAGTAAGCGGAAGGGTTAATATTCTTCAGAAATTTGAATTTGCTCTCCTCTCTGAGGGAAGAGGATAAATTGCACCAACACACTTCTGGGCCTGGTGACCTGTGCGCTCGGTCAATGACTATTTAATACGTTCAGTACAGCTGGCCCTGGTGCACATGTGCGTGTGTGTGCATGTGACAGACTGGCGTCCCGTCCAGGGTGTACCGTGCCTTCTGCCTGTTGCTTGATAGGATAGGCTCCAGCTCCCCCTTGACTCTGAACTGGATGAAGTGCTTAGGAAAGGGATGGAAGATGAACTCACTGAAACAATCCGACAGGTGGTGTGGATCTCCGGATTCTACGTAGGCCCATGACTTTCACACTTTTGCACCATCCTGATTTCTGAATCAGTTCATCAGTTCTGCCCATTGCTCATCTCACCCCATGTTCCTGTGTCTCGGCCTCGCTGGTGTTGAGGCACTGTGTTCAGTCAGTGAGCTTACTGAGGCGGTGAACAAGTCGACCTGATCTTCAGCAGCAGGGGGTGCCTGCGGGCAGTGGAGGTTTCTTCATGTTGGGGAGTTTTATCTGTCATCTGCTCTTTTCTCCCTGACGGGCTGCTGCGAGCTCGGCTCTTCGCACAGAAAAGAAAATCTTGCACTTCCTGTGTCTCTGCAATTGTGGGGAGACATGTTGTTGTTACAGTTAGTACTTGAGTAAACAACGAGAGTGGAGATTTAATAAAATAAAGAAAATAAAGAGAAGGTGGGGCGGAGCTTAAATTTCAGCAGCCATCTTGATCGGGTCACATATGTTTTAGTAAAAAATTGAACAAATCATCTAGCAGCAAAGGAAATGTGTCTAGAGAGAGAACAGATTTGAAACCACAGTGTGTGATAAGAAGCTGGTAAGTGAATTAAATAATCTGTGATCTTTCTCTCTGACAGGGGAGGGACAGGCTGCTTCCCATGAGGCACCACAGCGTCTCTCAGACATCAGGATCGTGCTGCTTCGGGACAGAAGGTCTTGGAAGACCCCAGCAGGAAACGCCATCCTGGGCAGAGAGGAGTTTGACACTGAGAGAGTAGCTAAGGAGTGTGAGAAGAGACAGGGTGAAGTAGCTGGGAGGCAGGTCACTGTAGTTAACACACCAGAATGGTATTTCTGTGTTCAGCGGTATACAGATGGACAGGAGCCTGCTTTCGAGGACACTCTAGACTGGAATAAAAAGGTGATTCAGCCCAGTGTGTCTCTGTGCCACCCAGGACCCCACGCTCTCCTCCTGGAGATTAATCTGGACTCATACACAGACCACTGGAGATCAGTGGAAAAGCATCTCGATCTTCTCAGTGAGAGAGTGTGGAGACACACAATAGTGCTGTTCACCTGGGGGGACACACTGGG